ATGCGGCAGGCAGGCGGGCAATGCCGGAGGATTGGCCACCCACACCCGGCACAAACACCCGACAGCAAGAAAATCAGGACACTAAAAATGGAGATTAAATAGCCACGCGCTGCAAGGCTCGAACCTCCGCATGAAGAACATCAAACCCACACAGAAACCCCGTCTCTGCACAGGAGAATGCCACCGAGAAACAGTGGACCGTGTGCCTAAAGTGGCACGCACACATGCGTTGATTAACGTCACGCTGTCGCCGATTTCACGACGGCAGAGAGGTCAGGCCGCCGAGAAGGCGCACGTTGCCTGGTGACAACAGCCCGATGGGATCACCACCAGTTTGGTTTTGCCGTCCAACATGCGAGTTTCCGTGCCACAGCAATGCCTGACTGACCCGCTACCGCACGGCACGCCACGGTATTGACCGGACATTGTGAGAACCGGCCGATTTGAACTGTGTGAATAGGCAATTCTGCATTTACTCCACTGCGGCTCCCACTTCTGGTGCCGGGCTTTCTTTTAGATCTCCGATCATCGGGCGGAAGTGCTCTGCGATGGTGGCTGGCGTGCGAGCCTTCGTATTTGTTTGAGCAGACACGAGGGATAATAACAATATACATATATGTTTATATATATATATATATATATATATATCAAAAGCGCTGAATAGGTATTGTTACCGATACCTATATACCTATCTATATACATATGCAGCCAATAAAATAGCAATTAAATAAAACAGGAAACCAAGCAATCTTTCAATTTGGAGGGGAGGGAAGGGATACATCCATATCTTTACGCATGCATCATTAAAGAAAGTAACGTTTTTATACTAATGCCCATATCGATATATCTATACATTGATCGATGCTTATTTTTGTATCAACACATCTCTCCATATAATTTTTTATAGGAGCTTCTGAGGCGGATGATCGCGGGAGAGCTGGCGAACTTGGTTAATGTATATATATCCTGATAGAACGTATAGGCTTCTTCACGACATCTCTTTGTCTTATGAATTTTTGGAAGGCCACGACTTTAGGGATCAGTGAGCCGGTAGCGGCCAGATAATTTTTTATTTTTAATTTCAAACCTACAGTCACAGCGAGGTTGGTTTAAGGAAATGGCATTGGTTCATTTTACACGGCCTCCGAGTGGAGCGATATTGGCGCCCGTCCTCCACACCTGGTACGCCAACAGGGCGATATGCAGGTGCAGCCCGCCTTTGTTGGTGAAAACGGGCCGTCGGATGCGACGTTAACTGTGGTCACCCCGATGACAGGCTTACGCTGGGTTTTCGGGATCTACCACCAGACCCTGGGAGGATTCGAGCCTTACAGGACATGTTGCGAATCTCCGGGCGCCCCAAGTAGCAAATTTTGAGACTCAGGTGCTTCTACCCATCGTGTGGGTGTGGCCCGAGAATTGGGGGTCCAGCTAGGGGTCATCATTGCTGAAAGGGAGCGACCGATCGCTGACTACACGAACGCCGTCGCTGACGCGCAGAATCGAAACGCTCAGCTTAATTCGCAGGCGGAAGAGGCGCATAACAGCCTATCGGAATGCGAAGCCAACATTGCGTGCGTCGACGGCCTTGTTGCAGAACGAGAATGCGCGCTCGCCGGAAGCGAACAGCAGTTGGAGGCTAACCGCGCCCAACTACAGGAACGCAAATGCCAATTGGGGTTGGTCAACGCCAAACCACAGGAACGAGAGGCACGCGTTAGGGCAAGAGAGGCGCAGCAAGCCGCGTGGGAGGCGGAGACGGCGGGCCGGGAAGAAGCCCCCGCCACTCGGAGAGGTCCGGCGGACGAACCTGTCACGCGTCAAAACACGGCAGAAGATGGCGTTACCAAACAACCAC